TATATATATATTGTGTGTTTCGTTAAGAAAATTATTATTTTGTTGTATACGTGTGTGTTATACTTCTAAATGATTTAAAAATGTATTTACCTACCTTCAATTATTTTCCCCTAAGGATGACGAATAAATAATTAATAATAATTAATTAACAAAATTTAAAACGGTAAGATCAATGTACTAGCAATTTTCATTTCGCACGTATTCACATTATTTATTTGCATTCGTTTGTTAACGTTAATTTATATAACGATATATCACATAATAATACATTAATTCGCGCAAATAATAATAATAATAATAATAATAATAATAATAATAATATTTCGCTGTGACTTATATTTTATTAGCCGCTTCTCTTCTTCCCCATAGATGATACATATAGTATATGCAATCAGTCGTATATATATATATATATATATAATATCGCAAAGAGAGAAAGATATATTTTTGTTTTTGTTTTTTTTTTGTGTTTTCAAAAAGCTATAGGAATAATATTTTTGTATCTTTCTTTCTTTATTTTTCTTTTTCTTTTTCTTTTTCTTTTTCTCAGTAACAAATATATTATATGGTGTGAACGACGACCCCATATTAGGATGAATTAAATTGAACAAAAAAAAAATCACTGAACAATTGCATCTTCAAATATTATACAATGCGATAGAATAATTTATTAAATAATTATTATTTTTTAATTTATTATATAATAATAATAATAATTTTATTGATTAATTTTAATAATTTATCAAATTTCTTGAAAATTTTCTCGAGAAAACAAAAAATATTAATTATTTTCAAAGAGTTATACCAATTATATTTGTTTCCAACAAAAAAAAAAAAAAAAAAAAAAGGGCCACGAAAATTTTGGTCGATAACGCGAAATGCGTTAAAAAAAAAAAATAGATTCCACAATGGGGATGATTCCTAAAAGAAACAAACCCAAAGTAGGGGAAGGGGTGGGGGGTAACAAATAAAATATTTAATTTAATACGCGTACACATATATCGGATCTGAAATAGATCGGCGCGGGCGGAGGGGGAACACATGATCTTGCACGATCATTCAACGAACACCATTTATTGTTTAGACTTATATTGTTAAAGAGAAGATTTAACGACGTTGAATTTTCTTTTCTTTTTTTCTTTTTTTTTTTTCTTAATTTAATATTTTACTTAAACATTATCATATCAACGT